CAGACAGAAAATCAGTAAACAGATGACTTGCACACACTATGGACTAAAAAGACCTAAGAGACATGTACAGAACTTTCTATCCAACAACAAAAGAATACAATCTTCTCAAGCACACATGTAAGGTTAGATCACATGTTAGGCCACAAAACAAATCTTAACAAATTTAAGAAGACAAAAATCATTACAAGTATCTTTTCCAAGAGTAACAGAATGAAACTAGAAATCAATAAAGTAAGAACATGGGCAAATTCACAAATATATAGAAACTAAACACATTTTTGAACAGCTATTTGTTCAAAGAGGAAATCAAAGGGAATTTAAAAATTATCTTAAGACAAACAAAAACAAAAGCACAACACAACAAAACTCATACAATGCAGCAAAAGTAGTATTGAGCAAAGTTTACGATGATAAATGTCTACATTAAAAAGGAACTGAGATCTCAGGTGAACAAACCTAACTACACACCTCAAAAAACCAGAAGAAAAGAACAAACTAAGCCCAAAGTTAGCAGAAGGAAAGAAATAATAAAGGTAAAAGCAGAAATAAAACAAATAGGGAACAGAAAAAAATTAACAAAACTAAGACTTGGTTTTTGGAAAAGATAAACAAAATTAACAAACTCCTGGACAGACTAAGAAAAAAAAAGGAGTCAAAATCATAAATGAAGGAAGAACCATTACAATGGATGCTTCAGAAATAAAAATGATCATAAAAGACAATGAAAAATTACTATGCCCAAATTGGATAACAAAATAAATGGATAAATTCCTAGAAATATGTAACCTACCAAACTGAATTAGAAAGAAACAGAAAGTCTGAACAGGCCAATAACAAATATGGAGATTGAACCAGTAATCAGAAAGTTCCTAACAAAGAAGGGTCCAGACCAGGTGGCTTTCTAGGTGTATTCTACCCAACATTCTAAGAAGAATGAATACCAATTATTTTAATTTTTTAACTCCTCTAAAAATTAGAAAAAAAGGGCACACTTTCAAAAACTCCTTTCTCAAAGCCAGCATCACCTTGATTCCAAATCAGACAATAATAGCACAAGAAAAGAAAACTACAGGCCAATATCCCTGATGAACATTGGAACAAAAATCCTCAATAGAACACTAGCGAACTGAATTCAACAGTGCATTAAAAAGATCATAACGCCATGACCAGGTGGAATTCATCCCTGGGATGCAAGGATGCTTCAGCATATGCAAATCAATTAATGTGATACAACACAATAACTAAAAGGAAAGCAACCTCACGATCATCTCAACAGAGGCAGAAATAAAGCATTTAACAAAGTTCAACAACCATTCATGATGAAATCTCTCAACAAAATGAGTACACTAGGAACTTACCTCAACACAAGAAAGGCCATGTATGAAAAGCCAACAGCTAACATCATTATTAAAATAAAAAAACTTTCTGTCAAATATCTGGTAGAAATGGTGCTCATTCTTGCCATTTCTATTTAACATAGTACTGGAAGTTCTAGCCAAAGCAATTAGACAAGTAAAAGAAGTTAAAGCATTGTTGTGGGAAGTCAGGGACCCCAAATGGGGGGACCGGCTGGACTCACTGCAGGGGAACATAAATTGTGAAGATTTCATGGACATTTGTCAGTTCCCAAATAATACTTTTATAATTTCTTATGCCTGTCTTTACTTTAATCTCTTAATCCTGTTATCTTTGTAAGTTGAGGATGTACGTCACCTCAGGACCACTGTGATAACTGTGTTAACTGTACAAATTGATTGTAAACCATGTGTGTTTGAACAATATGAAATCAGTGCACCTTGAAAAAGAACAGAATAACAGCGATTTTTAGGGAACAAGGGAAGACAACCATAAGGTCTGACTGCCTGCGGGGTCGGGCAAAAAGAGCTGCATTTTTCTGCTTGAAGAGCACCTATAAATGGACGTGCAAGTAGGAAAGATATCACTAAATTCTTTTCCTAGCAAGGAATATTAATATTAATACCCTGGGGAAGGAATGCATTCCTGGGGGGAGGTCTATAAACGGCCACTCTGGGAATGTCTGTCTTGTGCAGTTGAGATAAGGACTGAGATACGCCCTGGTCTCCTGCAGTACCCTCAGGCTTACTAGGGTGGGGAAAAATTCCACCCTGGTCATTTTGTGGTCAGACCAGTTCTCTGCTCTCCAACCCTGTTTTCTGTTGTTTAAGACGTTTATCAAGACAATACATGTACCGCTGAACATAGACCCTTATCAGTGGTTCTGGTTTTTCTCTTTGTCCTGTTCCCTCAGAAGCATGTGATCTTTGTTAGACCCTTATTAGTAGTTCTGTTTTTTGCCCTTTGAAGCATGTGATCTTTGTACCTACTCCCTGTTCTTACACCCCCTCTCCTTTTGAAACCCTTAATAAAAACTTGCTGGTCTAAGACTCAGGCAGGCATCACGGTCCTACCAATATGTGATGTACCCCTGGTGGCCCAGCTGTAAAATTCCTCTCTTAGTACTGTCTCTTTTTATTTCTCAGCCAGCTGACACTTATGGAAAATAGAAAGAACCTACGTTGAAATATTGGGAGCGGGTTCCTTTCCAAGTTAGAAAGGAAGGAGTAAAATTACCTCCATTTTGAAACAGCATCATCATATATGCAGAAAACCCTACAAACACAACAATGACAACAACAACAACAGCAACAACAACACACTGTTAGTACTAATAAGTGAATTTCATAAAGCTGCAGGACATGAAATCAACTTACTAATCAGTCATGTTTCTATCCACAAATGAGCTTATCTGAAAAAAATTAATAAAATTCTCATTCCTAATAGCAGCAAAAAAATAAAAAATAGTAATAAACTTAACCAAAGAGGTGAAAGTCTTATACACTGAAAATTATAAAGGCAATGATGAAGGAAATTAAAGAAAATACAGACTAATAAAAGGGCATCTCATATTCATGAACTGGAAGAATTTATGTTATTAAAATGTTCATACTACCCAAAGTGATGTACAGACTCAATACAATCCTTATCAAAATCCTAATGGCATTCTTCACAGAAATAGAAAAAACAATCCTAAAATTCATAGGGAACCAGAAAAGACCCTAAATAGCCAAAGCACTCCTGAGCAAGAGGAACAAAGCTGAAGATGTCATACTTCCTGATTTCAGAATACAATGCTTTACTAATCAAAACAGCATGGTACTGGTATAAAAACAAACATATAGACCAATGGAACATAAGACAGGCCTAAAATAAATCCAAGCGTCTACAGTCAACTGATCTTCCACAAAGGTGCCAAGAATACACAACAGGGAAAGGAGAGTCTCTTCACAAAATGGTGTTGGGACAATTGGATTTGCATGTCAAAAGAATGAAATTGGACCCCATCTCATAACATATACAAAAATCAACTCAAAGTGGATTAACGACTTAAATGTTGACTTGCAACTGTGAACCTATTAGAAGACAACACAGAAGAAAAGCTTCATGACATTAGTCTGGGCAATGATTTTTGGATATGATGACAAAAACACAGGCAGCAAAAATAAGTGGGATTGAATTAAACTTAAAAACAAATCTGCACAGAAAAGGAAATAATCAACAGTGAAAAGGTAACCACTGGAAAAAAATTTGCAAATCATATATTTGCTAAGTGGTTAATGTCCTTATAAAATATATAAGGAACACCTACAACTCAATAGCAATAATAAAAACCAAACAAACATAAAACCCCGCAAAACCTGATTTAGAAATGGGCAAAGAACCTGACTACATATTTTTCAAAGATAATAGCAATGATCAACAGGTCTATGAAAAAGTGACCAACAGGTCTATGAAAAATGCATATCAAAACCAGAATCAGATATCCCCTCTTGCAGAGGCTATTATCACTAAGATAAACAATAACAAGGGCTGACAAGGATGTGGAGAAAAGAGAATCCTTGCTGGTGGGAATGCAAATTGGTACAGCTAGTATAGAAAACAGTATAGAGACTCTTCACAAAATTAAAAGTGGGACTATCATTCGATCCAGAAATACCACTTCTAGGTATATAACCAAAGAAAATAAAATCAGCCTCATAAAGAGAAATCTGTGTCCTTATGTTTATTTCAGTGTAGTCACAGTAGCCATGATATGGAAACTACCCTAATGACTGTTAATGAATAAATGAATATATGAAATACATATATGTATATATGTGCGCATATACACATGACACAGTTTTCAGTGTATCCCTAGAGTCCTTCTAGACAATCACTGCCCCATGCATTGCAGTTGGTTGCCAAAGCCCCACCTGGCACCCAGTGTCCCTCCACCCTAACTCCACAATTCGCCCCATGCCACTGCCTAAGTGCATCATAGTGTCCCTGTCTCCCCATTACACACACACACACACATACACACACAAAATGAAATATCATTCTGCCTTTAAAAAGAAGGAAATTATGTCATTTCCCACAACATGGATGAACCTGGAGGACATTATGCTAATTGAAATAAGCCAGACACAGAAAAAAACAAATACTGCATGATCTCACTTATATGAGGGACCTAAAAGGGCAAAACTCATAGCAGGAGAGAGTAGAATGGTGGTTTCCAAGGGCTGGGGATAGTATGGTGGGGAGAAATGGGGGGATGTTAGTCAAATGCTACAAAGTTTCAGTTATGAAAGATGAGTAAGTTCTGGAGATGTAATACACAGCAATGTGACTACAGTTAACAGTGTTATATACTTGAAATTTGCTATAAGGGTGGCTCATACACACAAAAAGAAAATGGTAACTATGTGAGTGGTGTATGTGTTAATTAACTTGATTGTGGTGATTACTTCACAATGCATACAAATACAAAAACATCAAGTTGTATACCTTAAATATATACAGTTTTAAATTACCAATTATCCCTCAATAAAGATAAAAAAGCATTGTGTGTTGCATTACTTATATTTACTGCAAATAGAAAAATTGTGTCAAAGTCCATCTGTGTAAGAATCTAAAATATAAAAAAAACTTGCACAGTAAAGTATGTTTTCTTTTATTTCCTGGATCTGTTTATTCCATTTATTAGTAACAGTGCATTTTTTCACACAATATTCTCTTTTACTTTAACTTAATGCATATGTAGTAAGAAAGATTTCCTATCCCACCTAGCCTTTCAGTATTTAGATGAGGATAGAACAGATACGGTGTGACACCCCTCTCCACTGCTTACTGTGTGTACCAAGAAGGCAAAAAGCAGCTCACACAAGCCTAACCTGGCCCTCTCTTTCTCAGGCTTCTCAGGATGCCCACAGCACGTGCGGGGGAGCCGGATGCAGGGAGAAGCCAGGTCTGTCTTCAGGAGGTCACGGCCAGCAGGGTACAGTTAGGATGTGCCCTGATAAAGGGGAACACAAGGGGAATTCCAGGCAGTGGGGGGATGGGGACACTACGGTGCACTCAGGCAGTGGCAAGGGGGCAATACGTGGAGTCAGGATGGAGGAATACTGGGTGCCAGGACAGAGTGGGGCTTTGGCAACCAACTGCAATGCACGGGGCAGGGACTGTCTGGAAGGACTGCAGGGATAACTGAAAGCTGTGCCAATGCATTAGCCATGAAACCTAAGAAACTCAGTACATGTTCTCCCTCTGCTCACCAAGAGTTTGCATTTATCTTGTGGTACTTCTTGGTTTTCTAATCTACAGTAATTATGGACTGCCCTTTGTATGCAGAGGACTAACTGCTATGGCAGACAAAGATGTGTGTGGATAAAACCCTTGCCTTCAGGCACTTACAATCAGTAAGGTTATTTAGCCAAAGCCTCAAACAATAATGCAAATCGTATTATATTTCAATATAATATGATTTCTTTGTGTCTTTCATCTCTCTGGATCTCCCTCAATGCCCACCAGAAAGGCATTTCAATGCTCAATAAGAGAATGCTCTATTCTTTTGATGCTATCTTCATTATTTATTGTTTCAAAGGAAATCCAGTCGTTTCAATGATTTTTCAGTGTACACCCAGCTTCTTTCTGACACAGAATATTTGTATTAACAATTCATAATTACATAATCTTTCCATTCATTTAATGCATCCAAAGGTTTTATGCCAGTTATGTGCTTCGACAGATAGTCTATGTGATAAAATATCTCTAGAAAAGTTAACTGTCTTGCCAAACCCATCATCTAATAAGGGACTTCTTGTCTTCCATCTATTTTAATTGCACCTTACACTGATGTCAAATGATATACGTAAGTGAACCTCATCTTCACCCTGAAACACACAATTCAACATCATTTTTCTGAACTAAATACAAAAAATAAGCAATACATATGTGCCTCCTTTTTTACTCACTTGAGACAATATAGACATTTAGGTATTCACATATCATTGAATTCATTTGGATCTTTGAATACTTGAGCTTCAAATTCCATCTGGCTCTGTAAAAAAAGGTACTCAATTTAGTATGGATTTCCAAAAAAGGTAGAACAACACAAAATATTCTGTATGTCTCCTCAGTGTGTGTAGAGACAGGATAACTGAGGGTGAGTGGACATCGAGAACTTCTGGTTCATGCATTTCACTCACAGATCTCATGACTACACTCAAAAAACAGTGCTTGGTTCTGTGGCCACAAAGATGAGCAAGACCAATTGACTGAGCTCGCCAAAAGTCTCCAGCCCGGTGTCAGAGACTGTCCAGAAACTGGAAAGAGTCAGTCAAGGCTGCATGGGCTGTGGTAGGGAAAGGCACATGGTGGACTATGGGAGTCCAGGAGGACCAATCAAGGCACAGCCAGGCCTTGGTTGGTAACAAGGCACTCTCTGGAGCAGGAAGGCTGTACTGAGAGCCAAGGGGAGGGGGATGTGGTTCAGTAAGGCAAGAAGCCAAGAGCATTCACGGGATTTATTCACAAGGTGGGAGGGTGACCTTGCAAAAGCAGATTCAGGGGTAGATGGGAAGAAGTGATAGTAGTTAGGTATTAAATGTGGACAATTATTTCAAGAAGCTAGGCTTTGAGAAGGAAAACCATTATACAAGAAATAGAAGTAATAAGTGTGAAATTAAGGTAAGTTCTCTCCTTTTCTTTCCTTCTTTCTCTTGTTCTTTCATTTTGCTTTTCAGATGGGACAGTTTTGAATCTTTTAAAATTAGAATGGGAAGGTTTCACTAGAGAGGGAAGAGATTGAAGATGTGGTATAAAGATAAAGGTAAATGATGAAATAGTTCCTGAGGAGATGGAGAGATCCAGAGCTCCCCATCAGGCACTTCTGAGACCCACCCACACACCTCACCCCTCTATCCACCTCATCTCTTCATCCATCCACCCATCCATCTACTCACCCATCTACCTCACCCATCCACCCATCTCACCCATCCATCCATCCACCCATTCATCTACCCACCCACTCCATCCATCCATCCATCCATCCATCCATCCATCCATCCATCCACCCACTGACTCATCATTTTATCTACCCATCCATCTATTCACCCACCTCACTCATCCATCTGCTCACCTCACCCAACCATCCACCCATCCATCTACCCACCCACCAACCTCACCCATCCATCCATCTCATCCATCCATCCATCCATCCATCTACCCACTCACCTACCCACTTCAGCCATTGACCAACTTCATTATCCATTCATCCATCACTCAACCATGCATCCACCCATGTATCTATCCATCCACCTACCTCACCCATCCATCCACCTCACCCATCCATCAACCCACCCACCCACCTCATCCATCCATCCATCCATCCATCCATCCACTCATCCATCTACCCACCCACCCCATCCATCCATCCATCAATCCATCTGTCCCCCATCCATCCATCCATCCATCCATCCATCCATCCGTCCGTCCATCCGCCCACCCATCTATCCACTCATCTACCTACCCACACATTCACCTCACCCATCCATCTGTCCTTCCACCCATCCACTCATCCTTTCATCTACCCATCCATCTACCCACCCACCTACCTCACCCATCCATCTACTCACCTCACCCATCCATCCATCCATCCATCTACCCACTTACCCACCCACTTCACCCATCGACCCACTTCATCATCCATCCACCCATCCATCCATCTATTGCCCATCCATGCATCCACCCATCTATCCATGCATCTATCTATCTATCTATCTATCTATCTATCTATCTATCTATCTATCTATTCACCCACCCATCCATTCACCCACTCATCCATCCAACCACCCATCTACCCACCCACACATCTCACCTATCCACCCACCTCATCTATCCACTCATCCATCTATTCATCCCTCCATCCATCCATGCATCCACCCACCCATTTGCCCCATCCATCCATCCATCCATCCATCCAATCCACACACTCATCCATCCATCTACCCACTCACCTCAACTATCCATTCATCCATTCACCCATCCATCTACTCACCCATGCACCCACATCATCCATCCATCCATCCATCCATCCATCCATCCATCCATCCATCTATCCATCCATCCATCTCTCATTACTAGACACACACTATGTGCTACACACAGGGTGTGGGGAAAGAGTGAAACAAAGATTAAGTTCCTGGCCTCAGTGAGCTGACATCTACTTGGTAAGACAGATATACTTAGGTGATAAAAAGTGCTGCTAAGAAAAAGAAAGAAAGCAGGGCTAGGGGATGAAGAGGGAGGATTGTTAAGATGGTCAAGACAGGGCTCTGTAAGGAAGTGGCATTGGAGCAGAGACTGGGTGAAGTGAGAATATGAGGCCCAGGAGAGTCTGGGGAAAGGGCTTCTGGACAGAGGCAGCAGCAAGCGCATAGGGATGGAGGAGGCACATGAGCCAGCTGCCGTGGCTCCAGCAGCAAGAGAGAAGGGAGATGATAGGAGATGTGGGTGGAGAGAGGGAAATGGCCCACTGGGTCCACTTCAGAACCCTCTGGGGGGTTTTGAGCAAGGGAGGGGCCTGACAACATTTGCATTTTAAACATACTGGATACTGTAGAGAAAAGTCAGTAGGGGATGACAGTGGAAGCCAGAAAGCTAACAATCTAGGCTAGGTAACATATGACAGTGGCTTAACTTAGAGTGGCGGTGAACAGATGTGAGGAGAAGAGGCTATATTCAAGGACATATTTTGGAGGTGTAGCTAACAGTGTTAAAAGAGATAAATTAAAGATGGCCCCTAGGTTTTGACTGAACAACTGGGCATATGTGCTTGCCACTTAATGAGACAGGGAAGACTGAGGGAGGGGTGAGTTTTGGGGAAAAGTCAAAAATTTGTTGCGGAGATCTAAGTGGACATGTTAAGTAGGCAGCAGGAGATACATGCTAGGGCTGGGAAGAGTGATACTGTTTCTATATCACATCACACCACCTGCCTCAATCTTTCACGGATGCCTTGTCACCTTCAAGACTAAACCTGAGCTCCAAGCTCCACAAGCTGTGCTTCTGCAGCCTCATCGCCAGCCTCAGAGCACACCAAAACCTCATCCAGTGCAGATGCATCTGCATCTCCTGTTCCATCTCTCGCTCCATCTCTCTTTCTGTCTCTCCTTTGTGCATACATGATCCATTGCTCAGATTATTTTTTCCCATCTGACCTGGCTATTTTGTACTTTGAAAACCAGTTATTCTGATAAGTTCCCTGCCCTGCCAGCCATTTACCAGTCCTCTCATACATCTGTTTAGGTGACCTCTTTTCAAGTTCCACAACACTCTACACATATCTCTATGACTCTGGCACCAGGGTACCCAGGGTATTCCACTAATAAGTGGGTAAACTTGGACAAGGTGCCTAAACTCTCCAAAGCCTTGGTTTCCTCATCTGGAAAATGAGGCTAATATTACTACCTACTTCACATGGTTGTTATGGGGATTAAATGGGGCAATGTGAGGCTTAGTGTTTACAACGTTGCCTGGCATAGATGAAGCACATACACGTAATTAAGTATCATTATAATAATACATATCATACTCTTGTGTAATTATTTTCACCGGAAAATATTAGCCCTTGAGTAAAATCACTGAGCCTTTCATCTGTGCTCCTGGCAAACATTAAACCTCATTAATTGTTTCTGACATGAATGAGTTAATGAATGAAACATAGCACCAGGGCACAACAGTACCATGAAATGAATCAGCAGGTTATTCAGTGCGTTTTCTGTATTTAAAAGACATTCTTTCTGGGTGGACAGGATTTGTCTGATCCACTACCCATTAAATCAAGAAGTCCTGGGTTGTTCTACATTGTACTTTGGTTATCATTCAGGGAAAGTTATATCAGTACCTTTAGATCAGGAAGACATGGCCCAAAGGCCTCCAGTAGAAGAGTCTCTTCTCTCACAGCCAGTTCATAGTCTGCAAAAGACAGTTTCCCATCATGGTCATGATCCTAGGGGAATGAGAAACATGTTAGGCAACAACTAAAATGATTACTGCAAATACATGCTCTTTTCATAGTCAAGAGTTAATTTTTAAAAATGTGTTAGGCTGGGGACGGTGGCTCAGGCCTGTAATCATAGCACTTTGGGAGGCTAAGGCGGGGTGATTCCTTGAGGCCAGAAGTTTGAGACCATCCTGGGCAACATAGTGAGACCTCATCTATATTAGAAAAAAAATTAGCTGGGCATGGTGGTGTGCGCCTGTAGTCTCAGATACTTGGGAGGCTGAGGCAGGAGAATTGCTTGAGCCCGAGAGTTTGATGATGCAGTGAACTGTGATCATGCCACTGCACTCCAGTCTGGGCGACAGAGCGAGACCCTGTCTCAAAAAAAAAAAAAAAAAAAAAAAGAAAGTGCTAGAAAAATAAGAGGTTGGGCGGTGAAATTGAAAAGAACTATTAATATTATAATAAGGAGCATAATTTACGTGTTTTATTTAAGCAAGCAGGGAACTGAAAATTATTATAATTTAAATTCTTATTTCTAGCCCATATCTGGCCCACAAATTTTAATGAAAAACTTGACATTACACATATTTACCATTTTCTTAAGTGTCATTTCAACCAAATCTTTAATTCTTTCATCAGAGTCTTCCTCAGATGGCTGTTTGAGAAGGCTGTTCTTCAACATGTGAAACATTTCCTCCTTTGAAATGAATCCATCACCATTCAAATCAAACACTTCAAAACAATCTTTTTAAAAAAATAACAAATTATGAATTTGATGCTATCAGTAAGGTAATATTTTCTCTGATAAAGTTGTCAGGGTCAAGTTCTATCTTGATGCTGTACCAACCCCACAGGTCTTCGTGCAGCCTGATTCCATTGTAAGTGTCAATGTATACTAGGATATATACAATAATCTTTAGAAAATATTTCCTGACTCTCAATTATGAAAAAGCATACCAAGGAACAGTAACTTGAATATCTTCACCTTGAAAATCTTGGAAAACTGATTGAAATATGGCTCATAAGCAGAGTTCATCAGAATCAACTGAGAGTTAATTAAGAATAAGAACACTGGAATCAATATTCTCTAGTTTTATGGTTACAATTCAAGTAAAATCTGTCAAATGCTTAATACATAAATGTATATGTACATAATTAGCATGTGTAGTAATGCCTATGGAGTCTTCATTGGCATAAATTACTCCTCGGAATCACTTGAATTTTTTTTTTTTATTAACTTTCTTTCATATTTTATTGACCTGAATTCATTCCATAAAATAGGCCGGTGGGATTCAAACCAACTAGCCAGCCAACCAACAAACTCACTTTACTGTCTGGGTTGAAGGACACTGATTTAAGTGCTTTAGATATGTTATTCATAAAGTACAAACCAATAGGACAATCTGCAATCTTACATTTCATTTTTTCTTCCAAAGATCCTCGAAGAAACAGTGATAATCCATGAATCCACTCCAATACATTTACACAGCCATCATTATCTTTATCAAAACCTCGGAATACTAAAGGGAAAGAGGTTAAATGGAACACCTGTCCTGCATGATAATTCTCAGTAAAGAATCTACATTGGCATCACTCACTTTTAAAATTAAGAGAACACTTCAGTTTGTACAGTCCAATATTCTCTTATTATTTGATGAAAGAGGAAACTAAGACATCATAATATCATGAAACTGTTTTATTAAACATTCAATTTTAAAAACGTTTTTGTGGGAACAAATACAATTCTCAATGTCTAAGTATATTGATCATTAATTAATAATAAGTATGTTGCTATAAAATAAGTTGATCATATTAATTAGATATGTTAAATATACTAATATAAATAAAATACTTTATATTTTTGTTACTCAAGTCATTACTTGATGCATAGAATTATATCTTGTCACGGAAATATTTTCTGTGATGGAAAGAATTTAAATGTCCTTTTAAAACTACTCTATTTATTACGTTTATTAAGTAGAAATCGAAATGTTTTAGGTTTTCTGATATAAGGTAAGAGAAAGGTAGTTAGTCAACATGACTTTGTCTTCTTCTTAAATACACAAAATAAAGCTGATATTACCTCCTTTTCTGTGATCTTTTCAAAATTAAATTTGTATATTCCAATGACACTGGGAATGCAAAACACTAAGCTTCCTACCAAGAGGATATCCAAGCACCAAACCTATTTTTTTTTTTTTCCCAGTTATGGCTGGATTTGGCTAATTTGAATCTTGCGTGTCTCTTACCTCTGTCCATAATCATGTCATCTGTCATTCCAAATGTCACATGCAGGAAGTTTCGAAATGCATTACGATCCAGTCCAATAACCAGACCTTGCCTCTCTACTGCTCCCACCAAGCTATAAAAAAGCTTTATAAGACAGTTCACTTCAAATTTATTAACTGAAAGAATAAAATAGATATAACAAAAGTGAATCTTTAATCTTTAAGTTCTAACTTAAATTTTGCAATAAGTTTACTGACAAACAACATCAAAGACATCAAATAGGTAATTGTCAATAGAAGACTCTCCTGTTTTGAGATTAATGACCCTTAACTTAATAGAAATTAAAGAAGTAGCATACCCTCCAAACAGGAATTCTCATGTTTAGGGAAAAAATATGAAAATGTTAGCAAAGTTACTGGAATAATGATAGTGGTGTCAGATTCTAAACTCTACAAGGCTGGTAGAAATATGACTCAAAATAAGACTGGTAAGATTAAAAAACGGTAACTTTTTCTCAATATTTTTACTATGGCATTCATGAGATTTACAACTTCTTTTCCCTGGAAATAGATGTCAGGTTCATGAGAACTAGGTAACGATTTTCATTTCACTTTAGGCTTCATGAATTCATAAGCCAGATTTTGGAAACTAGAGTCACCAGTTTTCCAATAAAAAGCTTTAAAGCATATTTTAGCACCCAATATGGCTCTTCTTGAGGATTATGTAAAAATTGACATGCAAGTATTCAGTAATAGTTTGGAGGAAGGACATTTTTATTTAAAGGATATATACACACACAGATACTTGCTCATACACATTATTGTATAAAGGACCATGGTTATAAATACCGAGTTGATTATTTGTGTTCCAATCCCCATTTGAGAATGTAGGTGGAAGGGTTATTGCCTGGTCTTGATAATATAAAAGCCCAAATACCAAGTATGGGAGGAAGTTGGGGAAAATTTATTTAGAAACCAGACAAAACTATGATTGAGCATTTTAACAAACAAGGACAAAACCTGCATGTGTATAACAGAAGACAGCATCTAGGAATGGAAAAATCACACCTCATCCTAGAGGTCAGTACAGGCTTTTGTGAGATATCTGGTTTGGAGAACCACATTTAAAGAGAAACACTAAAAACTTCAGGAAAAAAGATTCAGCAAATAAACAGTAGGAAACAATATAATGGTTATGATTTTAAAAACAGCTGTTAGTCACTGGAAAGCAGTATGATGGCGCTTCATAAAAATTAAACACAATTATCGTATGATCCAGGAACTCTACTTCTAAATACATACTCAGAAGAACTGAAAGCAGGAACCTGCACAACAATGTTCATAGTGTCATTATTCACAACAGTCAAAAGACAGATGCAAGAGTCCATCAATGGAGGAATGGATAGACAAAATGTGGCATATTCATACAACGAAGTATTATTCAGCCTTAAAAAGGAAGAAAATTCTGACACATAGATGAACATTTATAGACATTGCACTAAGTCAAATAAGCCAGGCACGAAAGGACACATATTGTATGATTCCTCATATATGAGGTACTTAGTCAGATTTATAGAGACAAAGTAGAATGGTAGTTGCCAGGGGCTAGGATGAGGAGGGAATGGTGAGTTAATATTTAATGGGTAGAGTTTCCACTGGGGACGATGAAAAAGTTCTGGAGGTGGATGTAAGCACTTAAAATGGTTAAAATAGTAAATTTCATGTTACATGTAACCGCATATACACACACACAAACCTCTTAAAAAGCAAGAGCTATTAGTGGTTGGGGAAGAAAAACCTGCATGAAGAATGATGAACTCTGTTCATGTATATAAAATGGTAGTAGAGGGGATGTTGGTTAGCCATATTTCCATCTCAGCTGAAATAAAAATTTTAAAAAGTTTTTAATTTATTACCCAAAGGATCAAAGGTTAGCCATAAGAAAACTTTTATTGCTAAACATTTCTTAAATTCTAGAATACAATATTAAATGAAACTGAAGAAAATTCAAGAACAGATTTTCATCTTCTTGGAATGCTCTAAATGTGTCCTGCAGAACATATCTGTAGAATGGCGCATGAACTAGATGCTCTCTTAAGATCTTTCACTCTTCTTTGATTCTACAAAATTTATCCATTGACTCTTGATAGTTTTATTGTCTTGCAACTAAAACAAAATTTAACTTTAGGGGAAAGTTCTTCTGTTAAAGAAAATTTAAAATTATTATAATACCCATGACTTATAACTATTTCTATAGACTGTAATAATCATCTAAGTTTGTAAGACTCATTAAAATTTTTTTAGTAAATAAAAAAATCAAGAGTAGACTTTTTCCTGCCATATTTTTAATTATCTTTAAAAATATACACTCACCTTTTGATTGTTTACAGAATGATTGTTTGCAATGCATTCAAACTTACTGAACAGAGACTAACTCAAATTCAAACTTATGGAAAGGGACAAAATCAGTATTGTGTATAGCAGCTATTGCATTGTTTTTGAATATTTATCAAAAATGTTTACTAGATGTTTACTAGAAGAATACCTATTCTTCTCCCAGAAATGAAAGTGTTTTAAGAAAAACAATAACAGAACTCTCATCAGAGTATAGTAGTCATAATAATACCTTAAATTACAGGATTTTTTTTCCTAGACATTTTAAGATGCTTACACATACCATAACATTCATTTATGTCACCATCCCACTAAGAGAGCATTTCTTACCAGGTATTAAATCAGATACTAATGATAATTAGAATGCACTAGATCTTATGATCTCTAAAACTACATCAACATGTTTATTCCTTCTTCTTTGAGCAATGCAGATATTTGGGGAATTGTTGCTTCTGTTTCTTCAAGTGACCAGTAGATTTGCAATGAACACACAACTTCTAAGTTTGCTCGACAGGCAATATCTTCCTCATCTAAACCATATCCACGGTTTCCTTGCTCAAGTGCAATTATGTTTTTCAGTCTGAATATAAACTCAAAGTTTCCTATGAAATTCCAGTACCACCCTTTCAAATGCGAGATTAGAGCAGGTGCCTTCAAATAGGGCTCATCTTGTCACCTGCAAAGTCTCCTTTATCTTTCAACACTAGGGGCCACAGGAAAGTGGGAGTCTAAAGTTGGGAATCCATTCTTTACCGCGTGTTTAGTTGTGCTGAACTCTGGTTTCCAAACAAATCTTGTTCTGAGGCACAGATGAGATGACACAACTAACATCTCCTAAAGATGTTGAGAAGTTGAGCACCGTTTTCTCCTATGGGTCTCTTGGTAAGCTTCCAGAACTTGTACCTGCGAGTGTATATGCGAGCTAGAAAGCAGGTGAGTGCACGTTGGTGGTGCTACTTTTCTTGAGACCAGTGGGTTTTAGCATTTATTTTACACCTCACTGAGGCTAACATCACATGTTTCTATCAGGTAAAATAAGAGGCTTGGAGAAGCAAGTAAATGCATGTGTGGGAGTGTAGGTAGCACTATAGGTGGAGGCCTGGGTTCCTAAGATCAAACCCAAGGAGCTAGCACCCCGGGGATTCACCCACTGACTTACGCCTAAGGGGCGGGAGTGGAGGGGCGGTAGGTAGCCCACACAGGCCCAGGAGGCCGGAAGCAGGCAGAACAGCGGACCCTGGCACCGGGTGGGACCCAGGTTCGGTCCAGGAGCCTCGACTTGTCCAGCACTAGATTCTTACTTACAATGCTTGCAATTTTTAGCTAAGGTGTCTGTCAGCTTCTGCAGCTTCTTGCGGTTCATGCCTGGCCCTCAGAGAATCGGGCCGCGGCGGGGGTCTCGGGGCGCACGGCTGCCGAGACCCTCCCGGGACCCCCGCGAGCCCTGGTGCTGGGGCAACGCAGTGAGGTCTCCGTAGCTGATAGCGTGCGCTGCCCTAACAGACGGTGTAGCCAAGGCAACGGCTCGATCCGCCGCGGATTGGCTCCCAGGCTGCCCGCGACGTGGCCATGGCAACAACTGAGCTCCGCCCATCGGCTCAATGGCGGCGAGCGCTAGGTCCTGCGTCCGCGGTGCTGCCTGCAGGGTCCCAGCTGGCCGCCTTGAGGGCTGTATTCTGATTGTGGACGTTGGAGTTTAAATGTTCAGTTGTTGCTGGCTTTTGAGTTCGCAACCTTTTTGCTTGATTGCAGTGTAAATCATTAAAATCTGAAATGTGGTGTGCACGCTGTATGAGAGGTGTTTCGGGTGGTGAGCATCACGCGTCAAGGGGAAGCCTAAGATCTTGGACATCCTGGGGGCTGGAGCAGCGTCACAAAATAGCAAGGGTGCTGCCCAGAGGACTGTCTCGCCGGGCCTCCCGTCGTAGGGCGAGGAGCTTGCTCTTTGGGCGGAGCCACTGCTTAGGCTGTCAGTCTTGGTGCGGTAACAGGAGGCAGTCTGTCACCTGAGGTCTTCAAGCTTTTAGTTGTGTTTCTGAGAGCAAGGGGAAATTGGAATACAGCCACGGGTTGTCTAAGGATGGGGATGCGTTCTGAGGTCACGAGGAGATTTCATCAGAGTGTGCACATCACGGTGCACCGACACAAACCTAGATGGCCTCGCCTACTGCACGACGGGCTGTATGGTATAGCCCATTGCTTCTGGGCTGCACACCTGCACAGCAGGTCACCGCGCGGAATGCTGCAGGCAGCTAGGACAGAGTGCTAAGCACTCTGGGGAAGGAGCAGTGTTCCAGTACAGTGTTATATCTATATCTTATGGGACCACTGTCATAATGTTGTCTGACGTTGACTTAAATGGCGCTATGTGGCTTGTGACTGTAGTATTTTTTTCTTTTCCCCCTGCCCTCATCTCACTCTCAAAAGGTGGAAGTTGTCTGTGGAATCTGAAGAAAGTCACTAGGAATTTTTATACTGCTTAAATAGGCATTCCCCCCAATGAAAACAGGGGCTGACAACTACCACTTGGGTGTGGGATACAGCCCAATCTTGCTTTTCTGGAAAATATCTCAGTAACGTTGGTCCTTTACTTATTTGAAAGACAGGTTCTGTGTCTGCAGACAAAGGATAGTCCTTACATCTTCAGTGTGGGAGGACTTTCTGCTTTTCCTGACCACAGAGGGGATACCCCCTTTCAGCTAAGGCAGCAACAAAAAGGGGTGGCTCAGCCAGGAGCACCAAATCTACAGTATTCTCCAGAGTGCCTGCTTGTTTAACTTCAGAGGGGAAAATGACAAACTATGTTATTGTACACATACTGGCATTTTTAGACTGAAGCAGAAAAATTCTACTAACCATGAATAATAATCCCAAATGAAATAATTCCAATGTCGGGGCCTCTGGTTTCTCTTTACTGTTTCATTTGTTTTTGGAATGAAGGATTGGGATGCTGTTTGAAACTAGAGCAAAGGGTGCTTGGTAAAGGCATGGACTGTATTTTATCCTAAAGCAAATGACCTAACAACAGCTACCTGATATGAATTGATGGTGATTATGAGTTTGTAACAGTAGCCTTTGACCTAACAACAGCTACCTGATATGAATTGATGGTGATTATGAGTTTGTAACAGTAGCCTTTTTAAATAGTGTTTCTACATATCCCCTTGTCTAGAAGAGTGAAATTCCTGAAACCATAGAGAACAAAAGGGAAAGACTGGACATATTTGAATTATACTTACCTGTGACACCTTATTGATTTCTGTTAGATCACAGAGCTGTAGCAAATACTTAATTCCTAGAGATTGCTGCACTGCTCACTTCAAGAGACAAGGTACTGAAAGAGTGGTTGTCAGTAATTACTAAGAGACACTGTGGGCTCCCTGTCTGATGTACTAGACCTGTGTTGGGGAGCAGGCCTGCGCTGGTGGTGAGCACATTGGTGGTTATTTCTGGGGGCCTGGGGAGATCACACACACTGGGTGCTTGCTACAGCTGAGTGAATTAGTTATTCCTTCACGAGTTTCAGGCCCAGAGCCCATCAACCATATTCTCTTAAAGTTAAAACAATAATAAAAAGATGTAGGGGTAATATCACAGATTGTTGAAATTAAAATGCGCCAGGCCAAAACTTCTTAACCTGTTGAGCAAACTTTTTAAGCCACCTCCTCCTTTTCCACTTCTTTCCTCCTCCAGTTCTTTCTTCCATGCTGTTCTTTTAGCCAAAAAATCTCTGTATCTCTATATCTATCTATCTATCCATGCAAATGCATTGTTTTGTGAATCTCACTTATCTAAGAGAGTGGTTTGCAGAGTTGACCTTATAATAAGGTCTTACCATCTTTTTCAGGGAAAGTACAGTGTTTATTTGAGGTATGTTTTGTCAACATATGGGTAAACTTCAGAACTTTCATTACATTCTTGTGAAGTTTTGGAACTTAATATTTTTAGACTTTAAAAAAAGTTGCAGGCCTGATTGAGTCAGTGAATAACATTTCAAAGCAAGTTGAAGTTTCTATTTGTAGTTTTAGTTGTTTATGCTGAGTAGACACAGGACTGCTTTCCACCAAGGGCTTTCTCAGAGTAAGGCAATTAAGCCTAAGAGGCTACTTCATATTAAATCAATCAATAATGGAATAATAAAGGATTGTGTTTAATTTGTATTGACATAAATTTTACTGTGCATGAAATGATCATATAACTTTCCAAAAATCCAAGGAACCTCAAGGTGAATAACTTTGTAAACACAGAAGTACATTAAAGTGACTATTAACGCTATGTTTCCTTTAGTTTTGTGTGCAAAACAATATTCCCTTTGACTCAGCATTCACTGGATTGTTGCCATGATAAACAGCTTGGACCTTGACTTGATGAAATTGTTTTCCTTAATGTGGACCTTTTATGATGAAGGCCCTTGGAAACTGTTGAGGAAATGACATCATAGAATTGATCTCCAAGTATATCACAAATCTATTATAAAATTGCTCGAATAAAAGAAAAATAGAAAGGTTAGTTACCTGCATAATACAAATTCAACTTTACTACTTTTATTTGTGGAGACAGTGATACAAAAGTCAGAGTTACTCATGTGACCAGTTGTTTGGGTGGTAGAATCTTCAAATCTCCACCGCTTGTCACTCTCTCCTTTGCTCTAGGGTTGTGGTGACTCTGTAGGTTGTCTCTGTATTCAGACCATAGAACACTATCTTATGCACAATTTCTGCATATTTTTCACCCCAACCACTCCCAGGGGCGACTCTTCAAAGAGCTCTTTCTGCTCCCCTGTGTGGAGTGAACCCTTCCCCACCCAGCCATTCTCTTCCTTGGTACCATTTTTTAGCACTTGCTACTGTGTGAAACAACTTGTTTTTTCTAACCTCTCCTTCCCACTAGACTAAATCACATGATATCTCTCTCTCTCTCTTTCTCTCTTTCTCCCTCCATATATTTAAGTCTATTTCACTTGCTGTATGTCTGCATTTGTTTGTTTATCATCTGTCTGTACCTCTGAAATTTCACCACACGGTCCATGTTGTGTGGTCTGTATCGATGGAAAGTGGTGGGAGAACCACTCCAGCAGGAATGAACCCCAGGTTTCCCTGCAGCACCCTGGGGCTGAGTCCCTGGTACAGTAACCACAATGGAGCCTTTAAAGGGAGCCGGGAAATATAGAAGAGCTTTCATTTAAACTGACCTTTCTCCAAAATTCACACTCGATATTCACTGGTGTTGACGTATTTCTAGACTATTTTTTTTTTTTTTTTACTGTAATCAAGTGACCAGCCAGTAAGACAAATGCATAAGGTTTACTAAGGATAGGATTCTTGTATCTTAACATGTAATTTACAAAGCTGTAAATTAAGATGTGGCCTGTGCCGGTTAATTTTTATGATAGCCATAATGTCAGCAAGTTTGATGGTTTCAGTAAAGAATCTGGCTCTCCGAGACCTGGCAGAGCTGACCAAGAAATCCTGCTGAATGTGCTGGGCTTGATCCCCTCAGCACTGGGTCATGAGCTGCTGTAGCCAGAGTCATGGCAACTGTACTGCCTGCAAAGCTGCCTCAAAGATGATACGCACACCTTTTCTTACCAAGCCCAGAACATCTCGCAACATTTGAGCCGTAACCAGGGAATTTTCAGCAGCATCACTAACCACAGAACAGGACCCGACCTACCCACAGACCCCACCAGGCAATGTCTGGCCCTCTTAGCCAATGTCAACCAGAAAATAACTGGCATCACTTCTAATACTTGCTACCACTGTTTAAACCACTTCCCCCAACTCCATAGTTCTTGCTCCCTACATGAAAAGGAAGCACCACCCAGGATCGCCTACCCCGAATCATCCTACCCCTTTAGTAGACTCTGTTTATTAGACTGCACTCTCTAACTACTTCCACTCATATCCAACAAAACTCATTTCAACTGTGAATGTTACCTTACCAGATCTATCTTTGCACAAAGCCAGCTCTCTACCTTTCTTCCCTAAACATACTACTCCCCTGAAAATATTGCTTGTACTATAGATATTCTCCAGAAAAAAACTACCCATTTCTTCAAATCTACTCACTCACAGCCAGAAGAAAGTCAAAAATCATCTGGATCGTCATCAACTTTCCATGATCTTATGAGCTCTATCCATTCTTTTCTACACTTCTTAGAAAGTGCAAGTGCTGCTCCCCGCTCCACTGCTTCACCTCTTGCTTTGTTCATCCTCTATGCTTCTGCCTGGTTCCTGAATTTGCCCGCTGTCTTCCATCTTGTGCTCCTCAAAATGGCCTGCTGGGTTGCCAGAGTGATCCAACCATTTCTTCCTCCTGCTTAATAGTGAAAGGCCTTCCCAGTGCCAGCAAGATGGAGTCTCGACCCAGTAGCATGGTTTCCATGGTTTTCCAATATGTGGCATCTGCCAGGCTTGAATGCCTCTTCTCTGACCAGTCCCTGTTTTTAAAGGCTGGAACCCT